GATAAAAGCCAAATGTGCAGAATCACGTCAAAGAGTTATACACACTAAGAAACAGGAGCTACAACCAACAGAATTCTTAAGAGACCTTATTTATCAATGCACAAAAAGCTTGTTAAGACATAATGGCTTTGCTAATATACTCCTAGAACCTTTTTTCTACCAAGCATTACTCTACAAATTCACAAAGGATGTCCTACTACGACCCATGTTTTAATCTCCTGAAATTGATTCAAGAAAGTGCACTTACATTAAATGCTTTGTTTTGACCAAATAAACTGAAATAAATCAGCCCTGAAGAGAAAATATCTTTACATAGCTATGCCTCAGAATAGATTATTGTAGTGAATCAAGCAAACTATTTACTGGGAAGGACTTATTTTTCCCAGGCAAGTGGGTAGTTACAAGACAAGATACTGATAAATATAAAGAAGCTAGGCCATAATAAACTACATAAAGGAAATGACATCTTTGGGAAACAAACTGTCAGAAGAACAAAGAGCCATGTCTACTAACTTGCTTCCCAGGTGGTAGTGTGTATGTATATGCAGAATTCTGAATAAGACACAATTCAGAGCTGCAAACATACTGAAAGACAAAATATATGTGACAGAAACTGCTAGAATATTTTAAGTACTGAAAGGCATCAGATTGTCACAGCACAAGCTTTTCACACTTCTTGTAGTCTGCAAATTAGCTTGCCTACTTCTGCATTTGTCACTGAGATATAAGCATAAGTATGATTGCTCGGACACCTCCTGGGCAGATTTCAGCTTCTAATGATATACTGTTAGTGTCCTGAGCACACTCTTGTACTGCAGCGAGTCCTGGACCCTCTGTGCATGGCAGGAGAGGAAGCTGAACACCTTCTATATGTGTTGTCTCCGACACATTTTTGGTATCACCTGGCAGGACAAAGTTCCAAATATAGTAGTCCTAGAACGAGCTGGAATTTTCAGCATGTATACATTATTGAAACAGCGCCGTCTACGTTGGCTTGGGCACGTTGTGAGAATGGCTGATGGTCGGATTCCAAAAGATCTCCTGTATGGAGAATTAGTGCAGTGAAGCTGCCCCAGAGGGAGACCACAGCTGCGATACAAGGATATCTGCAAGCGGGCTCTGAAGGCCTTAGGAATGGACCTCAACAGATGGGAAACCTTGACATCTGAGCGCTCAGCCTGGAGGCAGGCGATGCATCATGGCCTCTCCCAATTTGAAGATACACTTGTCCAGCAGGCCAAGGCAAAGAGACAGTCCCGAAAGCAGCAAAACCAGGGAGATGGACAGGGGACAGATTGCATTTGTCTTCAATGTGGAAGAGATTGTCACTCTCGAATTGGCCTTCTCAGCCACACTAGACAATGTTCCAAGACCTCCATACAGAGCACGTTACCATAGTCTCTCGAGACTGAAGGATGCCTACATTTAAGGTATGATGCACCCTAAGTCTGCTATAATTTGGAAGTGACAGTTCCAGAGTCTGCTCCTAAAACAGAAAAGGAGCAAAAAAAAAAATAAAAAAAAATCAAATGGATGATTATGTCTGTGCAGCAGTAACATGTCTCCTTGGGCGGGGGGGGGCTCATGTCCAATTTCCCTTATGCAGAAAGCATACATTTTTTATCTTTTCCAGATAAAAGATTTCTTCACAAGGAACGACAGACAACATTTCTGAGATAACAAATAAAGAAAACAGCAATTACAATTAAGCCTATGCCTAACAGCACGCAATTTTGGGCAGCCTCCAATATTTATGTATGCGCTATAGAGGAAATCTGGGTACAGTACTTGGTTTTGAAGTACTTGGGAAGCATAAAAGTACTGAAACTTGGGCAACAACCTTGTCTGTCTGTTCAAGAGGCTGAAAGCCCTTAATATTTGGGTTAGGTTCCCACAAGTGAGTTGAATAATTAGTAATGAGTTTTTAATTAGATCCAGATCATCAAACTGTACAATCCCTTCGGCTGAGGGAGGCAAGGGTGCAGTTCCTGCTGCAAGTACAAGAAACAAAGTCACTGGAGAAGGTGCTCCACCCCAGAGATGCATTTAGCCAAGTCACTCCAGAGCAGAGTTTTCTCCAAGAATATGGCTCTCACTTGCTTACACCTTGAAGCAGTTATGTTGCCTATCTACAGATCCTTTCTCCCTGTAAAAACACAATCCAGACACATTATAAAAGTTTGGCACAGAGTCATTAGTTCTGCATTAAATGATATCCAGGTACTTGTCTCTCCTGAGGACACAAACAAAATGCTCATTTGCACAACTTTAGCTCCCAGAATCCCTCAGCAGAATTCCAGCTGCACATTCTGGACAGTGTAGTCCAGAAAAGTAATGTTGGAAACCTCCGACAGTTTGCCTTCTCATTAAGAAGGTTTGGTACAAAGATGTTAGAAGGTTGAGTGTCCACAATATCAGTTTCAGCTGCTCAGCTGGAAATGTGTCTGGATTATAATAATGAATGGATGTTTGAAAAGTTGCTCTTAACATGGTACTGACTACAGATAACATTTGATCAAATTAAAAAAAAAGCCCAGATGATTGAACTTACGGTATTTCGTAACCTATGTCAGCTGCAGTGTGGGCAGCTGGCATTATTACTGTGAGACAGAGAAAATCAAGAGATCACCAATACAGGACATGACAATCCCCATCCTATATGCTCCTGAGAGATAAGATAACTAATGGTTCAGGATCCTCCTATGTTAAAAAGCTGATGGAAACCAAAAGTTTCAATGCTCTCTAAGCATACACTGTGCAAGCTAACTACTGAGGCTTCCTTATCTCTTTAGGCGGTTTACTCTCCTGTTTGGGATTCTGTGTAGAGTGAACGTAAAAGATGTTGGGGTGCTGGGAGAAGGTTAGACAGATGAGCCTTTCTATGAAAAAGTGCTGCCTCTTTTTCCTCAAGAATGTAGACAGCTTTCACTGGATGACTATTTTGTGATACAGACTGTGAAATTCTGTGGTGGCACATTTCTCATAGTCTGCTCTGGCTTCCTACATTTATGTCCGAAGTGTACCTTTACCGTATTTCCCCGAAAATAAGACAGGGTCTTATATTAATTTTTGCTCCAAAAAAACAAAAACGCATTAGGGCTTATTTTGAGGGAATGTTTTATTTTTTTCATGTACAACAATCTACATTTTTTTATATACAGCAATGTCATCTTCTTTTGGTTGCTGCACAATGGTGGAGGGCAGGCTTTCACTTAACTAGGACTTATTTTGGGGGTAGGGCTTATATTACGAGCATCCTAAAAAATCGTTTTCAGGTTAGGTCTTATTTTCGGGAAAACAGGGTATGTACCTTTACACAGGTAAAGAAAAGCATCCAGATTAGGGTGGGGTAGTGGAAACTGGAGTTTGCACACATCTCAAAAGTAATTCATTTCTTCATCTGTCAGAACAGGCTTTTCAGAAGGATGTGGCTCTAGAAAGATTCCCCAATCAACAAGGAATCCAGTTCTGCTTCCTCATTATGTGGGCCACGTATTCCTGACAACAGTATTTTGAAACAATACAGAACATCTAAACTTGATTTGTAATTACAGAGTACCAGGAATGTGCCCACACAACCTTTTAATTGACTGCCACTTGTAAGTCCACAAAAGGCATATAAGAAAACAAGAACCAAGTACAGTATAAGCGTGTTCAGCTTCATCTGTAACAAACATCAGCACTCCATGTGTCAAACTGTAGCTAAACATTTCACAAGACTTTCACTATTGGACACTATTCCGAATACTTTTTCTGCATCATACCAACAGGCCACAATAAAGACTGGTATTTCAGTCTCATTTAAACAAAGTTTACTATGAATCAGCTAAATGGAATAAGCACTCTGAAACCTTTGTAAACTGATTCACCAGCTGTTAATTAATTAATTCTCCTCATTCTCTTGGATATAGCATATTATAATATAGACAATGCAATTCTTAGACCTATTTACTCAGAAATGAGGTCCACTGAGTTCAGTGAATATTACTTCTTGTGAAACCATGCCTAGCATGGCACCCTGAAAAACTATAATCTCTCCATAAAGCAAATATAGATTAACATAGAATCATGGCTTGGCAATTTAGAAATAATTGAGTATACTCCTCCTTGTATACTTAATATTAGAACTAAGAGAGCCAATTTATTCTGTGAAACAAACAGACCTCTTGGGGTTTTCATTTAAACACTCAGAGCTAAATTTTGTTTTAAATTAGAAGAAAATAAAGAACATATTTAAGATATGTATTCAATATACAAAAACTCTTTCCAGATGTAGCTTTAAAACAAAATTCACTAGGTTCATTCTGAACCAATCGGGCATATTTCTCAATATATGCTTTTTTAAAACTTGCTTCGTTCACAAATAGCTGCACAAATTTACTTTTGACTAAGCACAAGTATTCAACAAATCACATTAAACCAAACACAAACCGAAGATATCATTAGATTATCCACTTACTTGGGAGCAAGCCCCAACAAAATTAATTGATTTCAGTAGATAAATATAGGTTTACGTTATAAAATTTAGTATCTCTACAATGTCAACAAGATGATGCTAAACCTGTAATTCTGGACACAAATATGTGGGAGTAAATTCTATGGAACTCAATGGGATTTAGGAATGCACTGCTAACGAAGTTCGAAAAAGCATTGGTTCCTCTTCAGTTCCACCTAAAGCAGATTTCAAGCTTCTCTGCCGGGTTAAATGAATTAACATGAAAAATTCGAAGGAATACAAAAGTCAAGGCCGTAACATTAAAATGAGATTTTTCTTGGCGAAGATATAAGCAGATGCGTATTGCGGGGAAGGAATAATCACACAGTGTTTATCGCTGCATCACAAAAGTTGCCTTCGTTTTAAATGGCAAAACTTGTCAAACTATGAAGTGATTTACCCTTGCGAATCAGGCCACCTAACAAGAAAACGAACATTCCTGCGATAGCAACGGTCCCAGCTCCCACGACCACCCCTTCGTCCCAACGAGACAACCTTCACATACCAGTGACTAGACAGATGGGAAGTAGCAGTCTGAAGATCAGTCCACACACCACTTCTGTTGCCATCGCTAGGAGATCGGAGCGAGGCGCCTCTTGGTGAGACAAAGGAGAGAAGCAGTACCGAGGGCGATTTTACCAGACAGCGGCTCCTCTAACTTTTTAGGTCCACTCTTTCTGGTCCAAGGCTGAAGCCAATGCGCGGCGCGCCTGTCCGTCTGCTTCTCGGGCCGCCCCGCCCGCTTCTGTTTTAGAAGCCCCCCGACATCTTCCAAGCCACGGCCGATCCAAAAGAACGCGGGCAGGACAAAAAGGAGACCCCTTCTGCTCCGAAGCCCAGACGAGACCGGCCGAGGTTATAGGACGAGGCGCCAAGGTCCTCCTCACGAGAAGGACGCTCTGACTCACTTGAGCACCATTTTGCGTTGCCCCGCATCAGGTGGGGGGGGGGAGGGAGCCCGGGGAAAACTGCCTCACAGCCGCCAAGCCTTCCAAAGGACTTGTCTACTGGGGCGCATGACGGCTGCGCTCGGCCCGTTCCTATCCTAAGAGTCAACGACAAGGCGCCCCGTCAGGACGAGCCGAACTTGAGGAGCAGCAGCAGCAACAGCCGCAGCCCGAGCGCTCAAGGTGGAGGAGTCGGGCAACTCTCCCGAGCAGCTAGGCTGGCAGGAGAGACGCCGCGGGAGCGCCTCGGCAGCAGCCCAAACTCCCGCGCGCCCTCAGCCCCCGAACCCGAAGAGAAGCTGCCCGGCGCTCGCCTTCCCCAGCGCCGCGAGACCCGAACTTGAGGAGCAGCAGCAGCAACAGCCGCAGCCCGAGCGCTCAAGGTGGAGGAGTCGGGCAACTCTCCCGAGCAGCTAGGCTGGCAGGAGAGACGCCGCGGGAGCGCCTCGGCAGCAGCCCAAACTCCCGCGCGCCCTCAGCCCCCGAACCCGAAGAGAAGCTGCCCGGCGCTCGCCTTCCCCAGCGCCGCGAGACGCCCCTCGAGGCGCGCACGCGAGGGCTCTTGCTACATTTCTTCCCCCTCAATGAAACTTGGGGTGACCCCCGCCCCCGCCCCCCTCGAGTGGGCGGGCCAGACGGGACGGCGGGCGTGTCCTCCCGCCAATAGGAGAAGGAGAACGAGGATCTCGGGGGGCGGCCTTCGCGCCAGAAGAGGCAAGGAGGCGGGAGGGGGGCCGTCCCCACCTCCTCCGGCTCCGCCTTCGCCTAGGAGGAGCGCGCGTCCCGCGCCGGGATCAGCTGCAGTCCAGGTGTCACCCGCGGAGCCTCAGGCTGGTAGCTTCGGCGGCTGCCCCCCCAGCCACGTGGCTTTCGGAGCCGCTGTTGTCCTCGTCCGACGCTCAGCACTCGCTCTCCGCCTGGCCCTCGAGAAAGCAAGGCGGACAAGTGGGCAGAGGGGCTGACTGCCCGGTCTTCGCGTGTTCCGAAGGCTCTTATGTCCGTCTCCATTTGTTGTTCTCTGGCGTTCTCCTAACTCCCCCCCCTTTTTTTTTAGTCCAGACTCTGAGCGATGCTTCCCAAGGGAGGGCAGTCCGCGCTTGGAGAAGAAAGTCACCGGGCATTTCTGGGTTGCCCTTTTATCACGGTCTATGAATGCTCCATTCACTGAGGTTTGCTGGCGTCCTAAACAACCTTCTCTTCACTTTGGAGGCTTCCAGGGTTTTTCCCTTCGTTTGTGCTGTCTTTTCTCCAGTAAATATGTAAGGAAAGAAGGGCTGAATAGCTTAGCAGTGGGTTAAAACGGAGGGGTAGCGAGTCCTCAGATTATGGAGGTACTTGGCCCTTCTTTCCTTTCCATTCATTCTAGAAAAGGAAAAGATGTAAGTGGTGGAATAACACAAGATGGGAAAACGGGAAGATGAAGTTGAACACTTTGTTTGCGAGTTACATTTAGATTAGTTCTTCCTACACAACTGGTCCTTCATGGTCTCTTCCTCTCTATTCTGTTTTCAGGATACTGTGAAGTAGATCAGACTGAGGGGGGAAAGGAGTGACCCAAAGTCACTCAGTCGATTTTACAGCTGAGCAGAAATTAGACCCCGAATCTGCTAAGCTTCACTCTTGCTGTCCCACACCCATGCCACAATGACTTTCTTCCAGTACAGTGGACCCTCTACTTAAGGAATTAATCCGTATTGGAACGGTGGCTGCAAGTCGAAAAGTCTGTAGGTTGAATCTCCATTGACCTACAATGCATTGAAAACCGATTAATCCCATAACTGGCAGTTTTTATTCTATTTTTGTTCCATTTTTTTTTCTGGTCTGTAAGTCGATTCTCTGGCTGCAAGTTGAATCTAAATTTTGTGGCCAGAGAAGTCTGTAACTCGAAAAGTCTGTAAGTCGAGCTGTCTGTAAGTCGAGGATCCACTGTATTCGTTCCTACCTGGAGATCTCTTCAGGGTACTTACTAGAGGGCACGGTGCAGCTTTTCTGTCCTTTTTATTCCATGGTGAGGAATCCATTCCGGAAGGAAGTTTGTAAGTCGAAAAGTTCGTAACTCAAATCAAGAATGCATTGAAAACCAATTAATCCATCCGGCTGCTTTTGGTTCTTAGGTCGAGGGACGGTTTATAAGTCGAAGCATTAGTTCTCATAGGAATGAATGAAAAGCTGGTTAATCCGTTGCTACCACTAGGGGCAGAAATTTTTCTTTTTTTAATTTAAGATTGTTGTTTTTTGTTGTTGTTTAGTCGTGTCCGACCCTTCGTGACCCCATGGACCAGAGCACGCCAGGCCCTCCTGTCTTCCACTGCCTCCCGGAGTTGGGTTATATTCACGTTCGTAGCTTCAATGACACTGTCCAACCATCTCATCGTCTGTTGTGCCCTTCTCATGCCTTCACACTTTCCTAACATCAGCAGCTTTTCCATGGAGTCTTCTCATGAGATAGCCAAAATATTGGAGCCTCAGCTTCAGGATCTGTCCTTCCAGTGAGCACTCAGGGTTGATTCCCTTCAGAATTGATAGGTTTGTTCTCCTTGCAGTCCAAGGGACTCTCAAGAGCCTCCTCCAGCACCACAACTCAGAAGCATCAATTCTTCAGCGGTCAGCTTTCTTTATGGTCCAGCTCTCACTTCTGCACATCACTACAGGAAAAACCATAGCTTTGACTATTCGGACTTTTGTTGGCAAGATGATGGCGTAGGTTTAAAAAAAGGCAGGAAACCACGGAGGGAACGAATGAACACTGTTTTAAAAGAACACTTTTAAAATGAAGCACCTTTTACACCAAAACAGGCACTTTTTCAACCAAGCATCTTTTAAATCAAAACAAGCAGCTTTTAAAGCAACCAAGCACCTTTTTACCCAAGCAGGTTTTAACTCAAAACGAGCTCCCTTTTACCCAAGCACCGTTTAACCTAATGCACCTTTTAAACTAAATTTTACATTTACAAATGACAATACCAGGCAGTGCCAGGTTTCTCTTCCCATTCTCTAACCACTTGGATGAGTGAGGAAGCAGACAAGCAGCCTCTTCACTAACTGAAAGTTCAAATTTCCTGCTTTTCCTGCCTTTCCCGCACTTTTTTTCTGTTCGTAACTCAAATCCAAGTTTGCAAGTCAAGTCTATATTTTCCTATCAGAGCGGTTCATAAGTTGAAATGTTCATAACTAGGGCCGTTCGTATGTCGAGGGTTGACTATAATTGGGAAATAGAATCAAGCCTCTGTACAATGAAGTACAGCAAATGTGGTAGGGTGATAAAAACCTTGGTTGGATCCCTGTATTATGTAAATGGAGCAAGATGGTTGCATAATAAAAGCAGGTGGACTAGGTGCACAATTTTCTTTTAATTTGTAATGCTTGGAGGTGTCCATCTTGCAGTTCCCACTATCTTTGGGTGATGCGGGTGGTCTGAGCCCAACTTGCTGAGAAGAGAGGGAATGCCAGTATGGAAGAAGAGTGAAGCATCTTCTGCAAGGAGAAACTGCTTCATTCTGTCACTCATCATTCTTCTCACTCATTTCATGGTGTAGCAGCGTGGACTGGGCGCAACCATACTAGACATCTCTGCTGCACATACTTGATCTCATCTGATTTTGGAAGTCAAGCAGGGTTGGACATGATTAGTTCTTAGATGGCAAGGAAAGGGTGTGAGTACACTTGAAAGCCAAATTAGAATGGTTTGGCTTTGCTACTGCTTGAGTCACAGCCTGTATTACATTAGAAATCACAATCAGTGCTCATGTAAGAGCAGTGGATTGATTTGAGAGTTAATCCTTCATATTGGATGTAATGCAAGTCACATTCCAGCCCACAGTCCACCTTCCCTTCCTCTGGTCCTGCCTCTGCTAATTCTTCCTCTGGTCCCATCTTTTTATGGTTTGCCGTGAAGCCATTTTCTCAATTAAAGATTCAGGCTACCACATTTCTCAAAAACTTTTCTATAGAAAAATAACATGCAAAGGTACACTCTAGGAGGACAGAATATCAAAAGTTTGAACAGTAATTTTGCAAAATGCATTATAATTCATATGTCACAATGATTCCATAACAGGGATCACCACCTTCCCCTTCCCATCCATTACTCTTTTCCCTTACTTTCAAGTAATGCATGTGGGAATTACCTTATCTCTGGTTACTGTTTTATCATACTGATAGTTTAAGCCACATGTGAACAGAGCATAAGTTACCAGAATAGGTTATGTGAACGTAAGAGAAGAGAGTAATGGATGGAAAGCGGAAGGTGATTTTAATTATACTTTTAGACCTCTCGATTAAGTAATTAACAGCACTGAGCTTTTGCTTCACAACAAAAGGGCCTTCCCATATGATCTGAAATGATTCAGAACTAGGACCCAATCCCCCACATTAAAATCACAGTGCTTTGTTTTTGTATGCTTCCATGTACACACATGCCCCCCTGTGTTTATAACAACATATCACAACTGCTACATGGGATAAAGTCTATTCAAATAATTCCAGTCAGAAAAAATAGAAGCCTCCCAGCAGCGGAGAATAAAAGTGACTTTGGGAGCCAAAACGACTGGACCAATTCAAATCAGCCTTTGTATCATGCAGTCAGTAAAAACTGTGTTCGAACTTGAGCTCAGATTGCTGGTTTGTGGTTGACTCAGCCTTCCATCCTTCCAAGGTTGGTAAATTTAGTACCCAGCTCTCGGGGTGGGGTGCAATTTGTAGCTTGCATAATTACATTGTTAAACTACCTGGATAGATTTTAAGCACTAAGAGATGGTATATAAGCAGCACACTTCGCTTTACTTTGAATTCACACATTTTATAAGCAGAGCAAATTCCGCAGTATTTGACCACATTGTTGCACACCAAGGAATACAAGGCACCTCTAGTCAGGCATCCTGCATGTAATCATGGACAGCCATTCCCAGTCAGAGTTTATGATACTAAGCTGAACAAACCAGTGATCTGACTCAGTTTAAATCAGCTTCCTATGTTCTGAAGTAGAGGTAACAGTAGCTTCTTTCATTCACTCAAGATGGTGCTCCTGGGTCCCATTTTCTCTGTCAGAGGACATGAAAAGAGAGGATGTAGAGAGTTTCAGAGAAAGGAGGACTGCTGATCAGACCTTCAGTGGTTGCTCCTTACAGTTTTCTCTTTCCCAAACCTCCTTACCATGATACCCAGAGATAGAGGGCAGATAGGCAAGAAGGTATCAATAGCTTATTTCATTTTCCTGCATGTCTCTTCTGAATGGAAGAGCAGTGAGTACCAAGACAAATCCACTCTCCCACAGCATGCAT